AAATCACATGCAAATCTCAATTTTACGCGCTAATACTGATCTTAGTGCCAAATTTCAGATTTCAATTATCATTTGTACACCCAATGTCAAATATAGTGCCATTTAGTAATTTTCTTATTTTTGCACGCATTTACATCATTTTATATTTTTTATACAGAAGTGACCCCAATACCATTTTTTTCAAATTTCCAGCGCCATTAGTGCTCCTAAAACCAAATTGTGCCATATTAAGTATAATTTAGTACAGTTCTTACACGGCTTAATCATGTACTTTCTCATCTGAAGAACAGGGGGCAATTTTGCACTTTGAATGGTGTATCTCTGGTCCTTCTCTTATTACAATCGCATAGCAGTTAGCAGCCCTATCCTCATCCGCAGTTGTAAATTTTTAGACGTTTTTGAATATCCCATAGAGAAAAGTTTATCATCCCACTTTATCCATTCCGGCATATTTTCTTAGAAAAAAAGTCAACAAAGACATGCCTTTATCTTCCACTCTATTACCGACAACATTTATCAAAAATTTCCAAAATTACTGTAACCTAGCCAATACATGCCGCAACAACAACAACAGCAACTAGAACATCCACCCCATCAATTATCTCCATATTGGAAACTAAAATAACTCAACAACTTCCTCTTCCTCCTCCCCACACACAAATCATAATTCATCCATTGGAATCTGCGACCACAATAACTCGCTGGTATTTTGGCACAGATGGAAAACCCCAAAAACAAAACGGCCGGCAAAAGCATTCCAGTGGAAAATCCTATTGAACGTTTGCGGCATAAACTTAGTGACGCTATTTCGGGAACATGATTATCTCCCAGGACAATAATTAAAACCGCATTACAACAAAACCACCTGCTATGCCATGGAACAGAGCAGAGTCCACCAAAAAAACAGCAGCAGCAGCAGCGATGACAACAGACAATAGCTGTGACCAGTAACAATGTCATATTGACGGACAAATCAATGAACGAACCGACGGACGACCCAATACGCAGACATTCAAAACTGTAGATTCCATTCGGTTGATGCGGTTAAAGTGTGAAGTGGAAAATTTTTGGACCAGAGGAAATTTTGAGGTCATCGGAGGTGGTGGTGCCAGTGAAAACAATGGATAACAAGTGTTGTTGGGTTTGACGACACATGCAATCAGTTAAACAGAGTAGGTGTGTGTGTGAGTGAGTGCTAGGCCATAGCTGTAGATAGGTGAATGGTGCGTGCGTTTGACTGCTCTGTAATTCGTAGTGCGTTGTGGACGTATAAACGAATGTGAATGCAAGCGAATCTGTTTATTTGGCAATTGTTGGCACGTGTTTTTTGTGGTTTGGCTATCAACAATAAGCCTGGGCCGAAAAAAAAAAACAACAACAACAAAACTTGCATATATTCACCACTATTCCGTTGACCCAATATCTGTTGTGTGCATTGAATCAAGATCTAATACAGTGGACCGGAAAATGAATGCGTTAAGGAACTATTGCGAATAATTGATTATTGTTAATATTTTATCTTCAGTTATCTGGATATTTTACCAAAAATATTATGAACTACAGTCGCTGATTTAATTTAATTCTCAAGGCTCAGATTAATGGTCCGGAATTGCTTATAGACTATCTGAAGCTATAAGCAGAGAATGGCGTGCCTACAACCTACAAATATAATGCATTATGCAAGGTTATGTTCGTAAATGGGCTATGTCGATCCATTTTTCGTTTAGTCCCCAATCACGGGACCTCCCGATATTCGGTATTTGATGACTGTAGCGACATTATTCAGCGGAGTTGTTTCAAATTTCGTATTTTAAGTTCATTCTAGGTACTACAACCTATGACAGAAAATTGTCTTTTAATGGCCACGTCTTCGTATGGCCCCCATTTAACGGTACCTCCCGATACTGGGTATTTTGATGATTTTACTGACATTATTCAGCTGAATTGTTTCTAATTTCGTATTTTCAAGTCTTAATGGGTACTGCAACATATTACAAAAAAAAAAAAAAAATGCGTATGTAGGCCCACGATTTCTTATAGCCCCCATATAATAATATATGCAAATATTCGGAATTTTCTATTCAGGTTCACGTATTCGTTTAGCGCACGTGTAGAGGTATCTCAGTTTTTTTCGTTATATTGATGATGCTAGAGTCATTATTCGCCAGAAACTATAGCCTATCGCAGAAATTACTAATGCAGGTCTATATCTTCCTCCCATATAACGGTTTTATTGCGAATTTGGTGGGGGATATTGAAAGTTTGGTCAGGCCGAATTTAGCTTCTTTTTTAGCAGTTAGTTCTCAAAATGCACAATTTGTGCAGTTTATCATTTTTTAATCAATACTTCATTCATAATATTATTCAAGGTGTTCCCCCCACAGCAAGAACAATAGAAAAATGCCTACCAAAATTCTTTGAAATCTTTCAGTTTGATGTTTACCGAGCAGCATGTTAGTAAACCCATTACACTATGGACCAGCATCCAGATACCAACAGACGCCTCAATATTAAATATCGATATTCCAGCTCTATTTCTTCATTCGATACGCAATTTAGTACCACTTAACACTTTTCGAATTTTTATAGTACAAATTTCCTAAACCACATGCAAATCTTATCCACAGACATCAACAGTGACATCTTTATCAAATTTCAGGATTTCAATTCTATTACGTCACCCAATACCAAATGTTGTACTTTTAGTACAATTATTGTCCACATTTCACAAACCACCTCCATATCTCAACTCTAGATACGAAGAGTGAGCTTAATATCCAATTTGAAGATTCCAGCCCTATCTATTCATCCAATAGCAAATTTAGTAACATTTAGTACAATTTGTACAAATACGCATTTCAAAAATCCCCGCCAAATCTCACACACATCAGTGATTTTAATATTAAATTTCAGGAATTTATCTCTATTCCTTCACCGTATTCCAAATTTCGTACTATTTAGTACTTTTCGTACAATTATTGTCCACATTTCCAATGCCACCTAAATATCTCACTTCCAGATATGAAGAGTGAGTTTAATATCAAATTTGAGCATATGGTACCATTTAGTACTTCTCGTACAAATATAGGACCCATTTCCAACCGATCACCAAATCTCAAACACAGATGGCATCTGTAATCTAAATATTAAATTTCAGGATTTTGTCTCTATCTCTTTACCCAATTGCAAATTTCGTACTATTTAGTACTTTTCGTACAATTACTGTCTACATTTCTAAAATCACCTCCAATTTTGTCTACCAACAGAGAGCATATCATATGAAATTTGAACCTTTTACCCAATACCAAATTTAGTACCATTTAGTACTTTGTACAAATATAAGACGTATTTAAAAACCACCTTCAAATATCAAATGCATATGCCATCAGTGATATAAATATCAAATTTATGAATATTATCTCTATCAGTTCATCCAATACCAATTATAGTACCATTCAGTACCTTTCGTACAATTATGGTACACGTTTCCGAAACCACCTCCATATGTTTAGGATAAACATGAACAGTGAACATTATACCAAATTTCAGATTTCAACCACTTTCTCTTCAAACAATACTAAATTGTACCAATTATAGAACTTTTCGAGCACTTGTAGTACACATTTCAAACCCCAACTTTAATTCTTAGTCCTAATGCCAAATTTAAAATTTCAAGCAATATCCATTTAGTATCTTTCGTACGTCTGCTGAAAGAATTTCCAACCTGAATTCTTTAACCTAACCCACCAGCAGTGACCCCAATACCAACATTTCAGATTTAACTTCTTATGTTCACCTAAAAAATTGTACCAATCTTAGTGCCATTTAGTACAGACCTTATACCTAGTACACATTTCCAAAATCACCTCCTTACAACAACCCTATTTCCAAGAATTTTTTCTCACTTCCAGATTTCCGTTCACATAATTCCAAATGGTACAAAATTTAGTGAATTTTAGTACGTTTTGCAGACGTATTGTTAGGATTTCGAAAAAATCTTTAATCAAATCAGATATCAAACTATATTCCTTCCTCAAATAACAGCGCCAATACTTTTTAGTACGTTTCGTACTTTGTAGTACGTATTTCCAAATAACCCGCCATGTATGAACCAAACCACACAAAAGGTAATCCAAGTGATAAATTGTATCCCTTATCCAAATACCAAATTTAGTACCACTTAGTACTTTTAAGTACGTATTTACAAAGCCATCTCCAAATCTTAGCCTTACACACCTATAGTGATCGTAATGTCAAATTTCAGATTTGAAGCAGTATCCGATCAAGTAATACCAAATTTAGTACTATTTTGTACTTCTCGTACGCTTGTTAAACACATTTCCAAACACAACACTTTACCTTAATATCACCCTCCAGTAGAGATCCTAATACCAATAATTTTAATTTCCAGATCAATCCGTACAACCAAAACTAAACTGGTACTGTATTTTATACCATTTAGTACCGTTGTTACACATAGTACACTGTTCCAAAAATACGTACTTCCTAAACTTAATTTCTGTACCAAATATCAAAATTTTAGCTGTATCTGCTCATATAATACTAAGATGAACAAAAATTAGTGCTTTTAGTACACTTCTAGTTCCATAAACACAGCCCCATCTCACCCCTACCCACCAACATTGGCCCACTTGTGAAATTTCACGATTCTAGCTCCAGCTGTATCGCCTGGGCGTTGATAAATCAGTCAGTCAGCCAATATTTTCTACTCTATATATAGATATCGGCAGCTAGAATTTATAATTTTAAAATTTGGAAAAGTTATTCAATATTTCCACTAACCACTGTCAAAATAACATTTTCCATATATGTATGCATGATGTTAGAGCTTGCATACATGTATGTATGTGTGTGCGTGTGTTTTTATGTTTTGGTTAAAACAATGATGTTGACACCCTCGTTAAAGGTAATACCGGTGGTAAGTAGGCAGTTGTTGCACAACCACGTCTGTTGCCGTTTAAATATGTTATTGGCCAAAAATGGCAGTAATGGCCGACGACACGACTAGTGGCAGCGGCAATAAGTTAACCAGCCAACCAAAATCTGCCAACCACTGTCATGTTGCAATGGCCATTGCTGTCAAGCCGTGGGCGGTTGTGTTGTTTTTTCATCTTCATTTTTTTGCATTTTTTGGTGAACGGCATGTTGTGACAATGAAACTAAACCGCTGTTTATAAATCCGTTTTATATGACATTGCCCCTGCCCAAACTCCCTACTTATCCACTGAAGTGCATTTTAATTTTCAAATAGTCATTAACATACATTTGACCAGCCCCCAATGGCGGCACCAGCAGCAGGAACGCCAGCAACAAGCTATGCCATCAAATTTGAATGGATATTTTATTTAGTTTAGCCTCTCTGTTAGTTGGATTATTTAAATCCCTCGATGGCGGGATGGATGTTCACACACTTTTAATGTGGTTAGGAAATAAGTCGACAATTGTGATTGGGAAAAATTATGGTGTTGGTGTTGATATTCTGTGCATACGTTATCTGAAATAACGTATATGCTCAATAGAACTAATGAGGTAATAACAGGACTTGGATCTTGGGCTTATGGTTGGTTGATGACATATGATATTTTTGCTAGTAGATTCCGTTCTTCCTAAATACTTTAGTTAAGTTCGTGGAATTTAAAGAAAATTTATTTTAAAGGCTACGGCAGCGGTGGATTTAAAGTTGGATTTTATCAGGGTTAATACCTGTTTTTTATAAATATAATCAGAATCGAATCGTAGACTTTTAAGAATATTTAAATAAAAAACTATTTTATCAAAAAAAAAAAAAAAAGATAATGAGAAGCAAGAAAATCCGTTAAACTATCCTCGCTATATTTGTTGATATGGTAAGAATATTTTCTATGAACTTCCCGACTAAATGTCGTGGACTTTAATTTATCAACAAAGATAGCTCGATGGATTTTAGGACAATTGGACTCTTATCCCACTTGTTATAAAAGTTATGATTATTTCAAATAGGCCCTTTGTGTGGGAGCTACCAGAAGTGTTTGTCCGATATAGCCATTTTACCACATAACATTCACTCTCTGTGAGATATTCATTCAAGGGAATCAGAAAGGAAAAAGTGTACCAATATTACCCATTTTCGAACTTGATATAAGTTTGACAAAAACATTAGAATGTGCTACTTTTATACCCCCCAACATTCTACGGAGGGTATATTAGCTTTGTCATTCCGTTTGTAACTCCTCGAAATATTCATAATAGATCCTACGAAGTATATATATTCTGGATCAGCGTAAAATTCTAGGACCATCTAGCGATGTTCGTCTGTCTGTCTGTCTGTTGTAATCACTCTATTTTTCGAACGAATTGAGATAGAAGGCTAAAATTTTGCACACATGCATAGTTTACCAGTAGGCAGGTTACGTTCGTTAAATGGGCCATGTCGATCCACGTTTTCGTATAGCCACCATATAACGGTACCTTCCGATATTCGGTATTTCCACGATTTCAGTGGCATTATTTACCACAATTATTTCAAATTTCGTATTTGAAGTTCGTAATGGGTACTACAGGCTATGACAAACATTTTTGTATGCAGGTCCATGTCTTCATTTAGCCTCCCATATAAAGGTACCTCCCGATAGTTGGTATTTTGATGATTTCAGCAACATTATTCACCGGAATCGTTTTAAATTTCGTATTGGAAGATCTTAAGGAAGGTATACAGGTCCACGACTTCGTATAGCCCCAATATGCGGTATTATTTACCGGAATTATTTCAAATTTCGTATTTGATTTCGTATTTCGTTTTGTATACGTTTTGCAATTAAGTAGTAGTTTTCGGTTTTCTTTTTTACTTGTTTGTCTTTACAAAAAGTTATTTAACCTTTCACTGTGGAGATCAAATGTTGGGACGCATTTTATGAGTTGATAGCAAATAATACCCCTCTTAATTAAAAAAAAAAAATTAAATAAAATAATAATTTAAAATTTTTACCATCACGTCGTTAGTTAAAGGTTAAGAATCGTTCTCATGTTCGGTATAATCTTTTATTGATTGCCCTTGAAAAATAGTTTACATAATATCCACGTTTTATTCGTTTTAAAAAATAGAACACCTTTAGTCGAAGGTTCCAAAGAAACCAAAATACAACATTTTCAAACAAATCAATTGGAAATTATGGCCAATAAACTCTAAGTAACTAAAATCAAAGGCATTTCTTAGAAGCGTTTCTTCATGATAACACCTCGAATGGTGAATCGTAGTTAACCCTAGGGACCATATCAATGATTCCTGAAGTTATCCAAAACACTCTATCGTTTTACTACCCCTGTTTTAAATATTGCGAAAAATATTTAAAACAAGTAAGCAAAGGCTATAGTCGTTTCGGGCCGACCATGTGATACCCTACAACACTACAATATGTTAGAACTCCCTTTATATCCAAATCCATTTTGGAAGATTTCGCTTTTCAAATTATGTCACGGAGCACTGACAAGATATTACCCTTAGCATTTCGAACAGGGACATTTGCCCAATGTTTACACACTCCGTCGTACTGTTAGTTGTTGTGGTCCATTTTATAGCTAAATATAATCCAGTGGTCATCAAAATGCTACTATTCTTCCCTGTCCTTAACTCTCCTCTTAAGCGTGTCGATTGGCTTCAATTGTGTGATCAGGAAATTTTTTCTGTTTTTGGTCTATTTACACACCCATATATTGCAGAAATCTTAAAAAACAATAGGTCTAGCCATTCTGAGCCTAACCCTACCCTACTGAAAATTTTCGTGAGGATCACACGTAATTGCAATCTGTATATAATATCCCCAATCTGTGTTGTAAGGTGAAAAATATTACAAAACAAACACTTCAATATTATAAGTCAAATTGAAAAAAAAAACGCATGCGATAAAAAATATGAAAAAATAACAAAATTTCACAAAATACTAAAAAATCTATTTAACATCATTATTGGCATCGTTTTATGCGATTTTTTAGATGGTATTTTTTATGCCAAGAGGGCATTCTGAATCGACAAAATTTGTCAAAATCGGTCCAGCCATTGTTGAGGTATAAGCATTCTAGCTGGCATCTTCCATATTTCGCTATATATATATATATATATATATCCGATATATTTACTATCGGCGTCTACGTAACGGTCAGGATTGACCTGTTCTTCCATTTGTAATTTCGCCGGGATTAAAAATATTCGCGGTTTAATGGAAAATTTGACTTTAATTTAACACAAATGTTATAGTCTATTTTACCCACCAAATATTACCCGATGACCATCAAAATTTTAAGACTTCTGCCCAGCCCTACGCCCTAGCCCCATACTAACTCCCGTTTCGATTGGTCTATAATTGCGACCTGTAGAGCAGCTGCAATATCAGGATTTTTTTCAGTTTTTGGTCAATAGGGTTCTATTCTTGTTCTAGCCCCACCTCCATTCTAATTTTTGTGAAGATCGGGCCATAATTGCGACCTGTAGAGTGATTACAAATTAACATGGACAGACGGACATACATAGCTAGATCGGCTCAGCTCGGCGAGATAGGAAGATCCATATGTACTTTCCTATGTGGGAAACAAATATATCGAGGTGTTACACAATTTCTGGCCCAATCAGACTTATAATACCCCAAACACATAGTGTTGTAGGGTATAAATATTGGTTTTTCTTCGTATATGGTCATGGCTATTTAGAAATGTTTGACCTATGAACCTGAAACTCTTTTGAGATTTTGAAAATTTGCAGTAAATTTGGGAAAATATGAGGAGCTATTATTTTTTTTATATAATCTTTCAAAATGTCAACAAACGTATTTTTTGATATTAACTTTGCTTTTATTATATATTATTTTGGAATTATCAAAAACGTTTAATTTCGTCATTCAGAGTTATTAAGGTTTTGGTCGTTTAAAATACATTCTTTAATAATATTTATGTTCTATTGGTCCCTGGAAAATATTCTGTAAATGTCCACGACCTCAAAATATCCATCTTTGTTTGGTTCTTGATTGTGGAATTTTCGGAGACACTCTCTCAGTGAAATAATTTAATTTTAAGTGTCATAGAGTTGCCTAACCTTGTAATTAAAAGTTTGCCTTAATTTTCTTTATAACGCATTGCTTTCAAGCTGAATTCACGATTAAGAAGCTTTTGCTTTTGCTTTTTTTCTTGTCCACTCAAAAATTAAGAAAGCCATCCAAAGTGGTTTATGTCGGTCATGTTGTGGATATTTAAAATGTACTCGAATATTTTTACTTTCCCACTTGCCATAAATAACAACCAAACCAAAAACACATTTCAGCTGTCTCTCTCTGAGAATTCGTTCGTCGAAAAAAAAATTAACACACATAACTAAGACGACTAAAAAAATTAAGAAACAAACTAAAAAACATGTCAAATTACATACTGGTGGATACAATAAATGAAATATTCTTGCAAACATGTTGTCCAAACATGTCCTTGTCTTGGTTTCTTTCTCCCTCATGTCCCTCTGGGGCATAGTTTCTTGTTAAACAGCAGTGCAATCAGACACACATACACACGCCACACATGCACACATCCGCACTGCAAAAAAAAAACGCTGAAGATAAATAGTTTTTATGTCGAAACATACATGTATAAACAACATGGTGTTGGGCAAGTTGTGAGCAACGAGGCAGCAACACCAAACATCGAATGAGGAAAACTTTATCAAAATCTGAGCGGGCTAAGCTAAGGGAAATCCAAAGAAAAAAGGAAAAGAGCAACAGCAAAGAAGGGATAGACTAGAAAAATTGTCACCATAACTTTGTCGTCGGGGGACTAGAGTAGAACAAGAGAAATGAAAACGAACTCATAAAAAGAACAGCAGCAACAACAACAACAATAAACATACACACACTCACACACATCAAGGACAAGAAAGTGCAACATTTTTTTGCTGGTTTCTTCAAATGTTGTTTTGCAACTCTAAACAATAGTTTTAACAACTCAAAACATTAAAGTAAGAGGACCAACAACAGCAACAACAACATGAGGGACAATCGCTTCTTTCAAGCACACAAAAATGGAAGAAGTTGTAACAAAAACATTCGCAAAAGTACTTCAAACTAAAAATACTCG